TGTTTTTATCAATCGGGTTTTTATAATAAATGCGTGTGCGTACGTTTACATTTGTTTAAATACAACATTCATCGTTTGTATTATATTTTTCCACAAAAAATTTGAGAACCAAATTATAGCAACCACTAATAAAATATTTCAAGTTAAAGATCAGTTAGGACTGACGAAAATGATAATGTCGAGGAAGGATGTTGCGTTTACTTTAATATTTGCCTTTGAATTCTTCTTTATTATTGGATGTTGGGTATACTACATGGTGATAAAATTTAAATGGAATCAAACTACTACACAGTTACTTATGAAATATATGCATACGGTATTTTTTGTGTTTTTTAATGTTATAAAAATGGTGACGGAGGCAAGATTCGTCTTAGTGCATATGTTGATTTATAAGCTTTTTGAACGATTAAGCGAACTTTTTTTTCATTTGCATGCAAATAAAATTCGTGAAACTATTAAAATACACAGCGAACTTCTTCAAATAACATTTTATGTAAACAAACATTTTTCAGTTATAATACTTTTCATAGTTGGACATTATTTTATTGACATTGTTGTTGAAGTTCTTGCTTTGTTGTACAGTTTGCAACAAAATAACTATAATATTTCGGTTAATGAACTGGGTGGGCTCATTATTTCACTAAATAAGTTACTGTTTATTATTATCACATCGCAGGACTCCACATCAAAGGTAATACTGTGTTGGGTAACTTATTCAAGATTTTTTTTTTGAGTTCAATTACTTTTTCTGATCATAAGTTGTTCGTTTCAGGCAGTTTTTTTCTTTTATAAATTTTTCATATTTATGCGAATAATTATGTGATTATATATATATATTTAATTAATAACACAGGTCGTTACTACAAATGAATGGCAGTTGATTTCCATTTCGTAGTAAAATATTGTTGTTATATAACAAACAAATATCAATGATCGATTTATATTAATTATGCCCACGTATAAAAGTATGTAGTATTACTGTTCAATGTTCATTCAGTAGTTCTAAAACGCGTTTTTAAAAATGTTCTATTTTGTAAAAAAAATTGTAACAATTTCCAATTTTTTGGGAATTGTCTGTATCCGGTTTGACAGACAGAACAACTGTTTCAAAATACGTAAAGCCTGGAATACTTTAAATTTTAACTTGTGCTTGATCATAGTGGCTATACATTATATTGTGTGTTATTATTTTTACATTCAAAGATACAAAAAGAGAGTTTTTGTTATTAATATCGGATCTCTTGTTTTTTTGAATATGAATTTATTGTCAATAAGTTGCATAATTCTCTTGAACAAAAAATACGAGAAGGTTACCTTGACAACATTAAATCAGTTAATGAATTTTGAGAAAACTGCAGCCCTTGAATGCAGAAAATTTTATTTCGAGTATTTCTTGATTTTAATTTTTCTTTTTGACTGTGCGTATAATATTATTACTTCTCTGCATTTTGTTCTTTTTAGAACTAACCAAGAAAGTAAAGATCTAATTATTATTTTCCTTGTTTTGTACGTTTTTTATATATATACTATAATTTTAAAACTTTTAACTGAAGGAAGATATGAAACGATTGTTTTATTCATTGCTAGATGTTATAAACAGTTAAGTAAGAGGTGCCTTCAAGAGTTTGAAGATCAATGGATAATTTTAAAATGTCAAAAACTTTATGAGATATCGAAGGAAATTCACAAATCATTCTCAGTTATAATCCTTTTTCATCTGGCAAATTATTTTTGTAATTTTGTAATTCGACTCTTGTCACTGTACTATAGCTTTACTGAAAGTAAACAAAGTGTACACGTATACGAAGTAGTGGGATTTCTTATGTACTTCATAAAATCTCTCTGTATCATTGGAGTGACGCACAACTGTATGTCGAAGGTATATAATATTCATTAATAATAACTTTTAATTTCAAATTATAGTTTTGTTTATGTTGACATGCATTATATAGATTTTTGTTAAGTGCATGTGGAATAACGTTGACTTTAATTTGCCTGATTATCTTAACATAAAGGACATACTCAATGTAATCACAATGTTAGTGTGTACACTTACTTCGGTTGATTTATTATAGTCATCTTTTATGCTCCGGAAATAGAAAAATTTGTAACTGAATTTCATTAACATGACAAAAGAAAAATCTGTACAGTTTTTAAATCAACTAACTCTGCTTCAGAGTTATTTGGGAATTTTTTCTCTTCATTATAATGAAAATACAAGTCATTTAAATTCTGTTGGGCGCTGGCGAGAGTTTAAATTTTTTATAATTTTTTTACTATTTATGTCACAATTTCTAAGTAATTATGGCTACTTCTTTTATATGTTGAGCAAAAGACTTTTTATTATATCACTCTTCGGTTTTGTGCATATCACTATCAATTTAATGCTGTTCGCATGTACTTTTTTTTTTATTTTTATTTTATTTTTTTTTATTTTATTAATTAACGTTACCCAACAGGCCGGAGGCCCAATTACAGGGTAACGGGGGACATACACAACACCCAGAGCAGGGCGGGAATCGAACCCACGACCCAAGGTGTGGCAGGCAAGCGCGATGCTACCTAACCCACCCGAGTCCTCAACAAGAAGTACGAGAAAACAACTGTTATATTCTACAACAGTTTAGTAGATTTTTGTGCTCAAATGACAAATCGCGAAAGAAAGATTTCGCTAACAGAAAAACTTTTAAAATGTATACTCTTAACAGACTTGCTACTGAGTTTGATTCAATGTATAAGTCATGTGATAAAGATAACCGATGAGAGAAATGAATTATTATTTTTGAAATTTTATTTTTGTTTTCTTTATACACATTTAAACTTTGTGATCATTACGACGGAAGGGCGATACGAAATTACATGTTTAATAATATCCACTCATTTCAACAATTTGAATAAAATTTTCACCACACAGTGGCAAAACAGATGTAGATGGTTAACATCGAAACACCTGGAATTGCACGAATTATCACGAACAGCTTTTACAACTTATTCTAAAATACTTTTGTTTACATTGGGACGATATTTTACTACTATAATTATCATTGTTATTACCGCATATTTTGACTCTCTTGAAGGAAAGATAAGAAAACTGCAACTTATAGAACTATGTGTACTTATCGTAAAACTAGTTTTTATAATTTTGCTGTCTCATAATTGCAGTTCAAAGGTAAATTTTGCTTTAAATTGAAGATCAAAATTATAGTTTTTGTTTTTATTTATTTTTTCAATATTAATAACAAATGTACAAATTCATTTTTAGAATGGACAATTTACAAACATTTTTCTTCTTCAGGCAAACGAGCTCAAAACGGTGCTTTGTAAAGTGTTAAGTCAAACTAGAGACCCTAAGCTCCGCAAAGAGGTGAGTCCATACTGATTTAGGAGTCTTTTAAACTTCGAATACACAATTTTCAGCTGAATGCTTGTGGACTGCAGCTATTACACGAAAAATTAGAAATTACAGCAGCTGGATTTTTTGTGGTTGATTCAAAGCTAATTTTTACGGTAATTTTTGATGAAATACGATTTAGAATTATTAAGATTTTTCTTTTTAGATTGTTTCTGCTGCAAGTACTTACGTCGTAATCATATTACAATTTTTATATTATGACCAAAAGTATGTCAAAAATATAGAACTTTGGAATTAATTAATTTTGTAACCGTTTTTGACCAAAATTTGATGTGTAAATTATTTTGTATGTTAAATTTAGATCCAACAATAGAATTGTAATCCGAATAAGATGTTAGGTTCATTTTCTTATATAAGGACTTATTTTGAAAAAGTTATTAATCACTTGGGCGGAAACGCTTGTGTAACTATAAATAATCCCATAAATAAATAAATTCTGTATTATATGACTATCTACAATAGTTATCAGGTTATTACTAAAGAGGATAAGTCTAGTGTTAATTGTCTAAATAAAAAATTAAGAATGGACATTATTATAATTTTTGTTGTTGTAATTTAAAGTATTCCCACCGTAAATAAAAAATCAATATCTGAAAAATATTCCAGAGCTTTCTATAACTTTTGCATTAATTCTTTTTCTATTATTAATCTGTCAAAAGTATGTACAATAATTTCGTGAATAGCTCTATATTTATTCAGCACACACTTTTACTTTGTTGTTAACTTAACATACTGAACACAATTCATGTAATTAAAAGGATTCATACGTATGAATATTTATTTTATCTTTAAGCAAAATCTGTTGGCTGTACGTTTAGAAATCATTACATATTAAACTATGGCTATAGCGAGGTGTATGCATTTTTTAAATCAGTTGACACGATTGCAGAATTACTTGGGAATTTTTTCTCTGCACTACAATGATAATACGAATCATTTCAAACCAATTCAACGCGGAAGAAAAATCAAATTTGCCATCATTTTAATGTTGTTCGTTTCACATGTTTTAAGTAGTTATGGTTACTTTGTATTTATATATACTAACAGAGTTATAATTGTATCTCTCTTTGCATTTATTCATTTAAACATTAGCCTAATTCTGCTAGGCTGTGCTTTTTTTCTAAACAAGAGGAATGAAAATATGATTATATATTCCTATAACCGTTTGTCAAATTTTTCGTCACAAATTACTTATTATGAATGCAAAATATTGCGCGTGGAAAGAATCTTAAAGCTCTTATTACTACTTGAATTTTTATTTAACTTGCATCAGTGTTGGAGGTTTATGTTAAATAATACCAATTGTGCTTCTGCGAAAATATATTTGTGTTTTGTTTATATGCACTTCGCTCTAGTAACAGCTACAACAGAAGGACGATACGAAATGACTTGCTTACTGATAGCTGCTTATTTTAATCGTTTGAACACGATTTTTTCTACACACTATCAAACCAAGTGTAGATGGTTGATGACAAAACATATGCAGTTGAACGAATTATCAAGAATTGCTTTTCAATCTTATTCGAAAATACTTCTTTTTATTCTAGGAACATATTTTACTACTTTGATTATTTTTATTATTAGTATATATTTTAAATGGATTGGAGGAGCCCTGGATGTAGTAGAACTGTTGAGATTTGGTCTACTCATTGTCAGATTGTTTTTTATTATTTTGGTGTCTCATAATTGTTCTTCAAAGGTATGACAGTGTACTGAACACTTAAAAATCATAAACTGGAATTTGTGTTTTAGGCACATGAACTGAGGAAGTTACTTTGCCTAGTGGTGGGTCAAACTAAGAGCCCCAAACTTCGCAAGGAGGTAGGATTTTGAGCTATTATATTACGTAGTAAATAAAATTTTTCAGTTGAATGCTTGTGGGTTACAACTATTTCAAGAAAAACTAGAAATTACTGCAGGTGGTTTTTTTATAGTGGATTCACGATTTATTTTTACGGTAGGTACATTCGTATGTTTAAAAAAGACGTTTAGCGTTTAACACCCATTTATATCATTTAAATATTTTTTTAGATGATTACTGCAACAAATACTTATGTGTTAATAATTTTACAGTTTTTGTATTACGATCAACAATACAATAAAAATGTGCAGTTATGGAGCTAACAGATTCGTTATATTACTTTACATTTTGGTATTTAAACTAAAACTACCTAGCAATTATTATTACCTCAACGTTCTTAAAAAATATATTTATTTCTTAAAAAGATGTATATTTAGTGTGGTTTTGTTTTATAATTGCAGTAGCTGTGTAAGATGGTACATTTATTGTTTCTGCGTATTTGTTAAAAATATTGTAAAGAGGATATCTCCAAAACCTCCATAGATTATGGTGGAAATAGTAACAATAGCAAATATTTTTTTCACATATCCCTTGGCGATTAATTGTTGACGTCATCTTCAAATACAAGGTTTTTATAAATGGTTCAACGAGCATAGTTGGCTATTCATTTCAAAAATTCCGCATCGCTAAAATTAGGCTTCATGGTGATTCGAACGTTTTTCAAATGTACGTACTAAAATTCTGTTGAACAAGACACTTCTTAAACGAAGAGTTTGTGTATTCTGGAACCTCTTGTAACTAATTTAAACTTAGCTCTTACCACGTGGTTACACTTACACAAGCACATTCCGACTAACGCTCCGCCATGCAGATTCTGTCTCTACCAACCCTCTAACTAAAAACCCCTAGCGCTAAATCGTCCGACTACCAAGCAAGCATTTCCGTGCACCAGGTTGCCTATGTTTAACGATTTTTTTTTGTGATTGAATTTTTTTTCAAATTCAAATTATTCAAGTGTGATTTCGCGCCGCTGTTAATTAATTTCAGAGTGAAAACTTTCATTTAAATTCGGTTACCACAAACTTTAAGGAGTTTTACCTCAAGCGACTTCACCACGGTCGCAGAATTCTATAGCCCCCACGAACAACGTGAGATAATAAATAAACAGTGGACTCTGGTAGAAGAACAGAGAGTTAACAGGAGAGGAGGTAGCTGATTTGAGAATGCGAAATGTTAAATTTGTATTAAGTGAATTACGGTTAAGTTTCTGATTTCAACCATCAACGCTTAAAAACCGTCATACCATTCCGGCATTAAATTCAAAGATTTCAAGCATTTCAAATATGCAATTAACATTATATTTTACTTTCCTGTTTAGAATATATTCTAATAATATTTTTTCACAATAATTTCAATTAACAATAACAAACCGGAAGATACAATACCTATACAAAAAATCAAAATAGGAAAATAAGCATCAATAAATCCAACATTTACGAAAGTACCTCTCTGACTAGTACACTGAGGTTTTTTAGAACAAATCCTATTAATTTGACGATGATGTATTCCTGATTCATGAATTTTTCTGAAACTAAGATGTAATCTAAGGATTATGTTAGTTACAAAAGTTTTATTACTTACCCCACTTTTATATGATCTTTAAAAGGCGATTTTTTTCTCATTGTAATCGTCGGTCTAAAATGATTGAGATAATCTATCTCAGTTAATCCACATTTCTCGTGTTCTTGAAATAAATCCATGACTACTTTATAAGCAGCTGAAGTTTCAGCATGAAACGCAAAAAACTCGTCCCTCATTTTTTTAATGCCTATTTGCATACTCATGAAGTTGGCTTTTCTACCTTTGGCAGCTACCTTCGTGTCATATATTGCTTTTCTAACCGGTTCTTGTTGACTCTAAAGATTTAGTATTTTCACAATTATTGTTATAATTTATTACCTATAATTTTTCACTATACTTCGAAATAATATCTGCTGTAAACTATATCTTCAACTCCAAGCTCGATTTTAGAATACAACAGATCATAAACCGTAGTAATACTATTTGATGTTGACTGCAGAAGAACTACAATACTGGCAGAATACGCTGTATAAAAAAACATCATCAATAGCAACATTATTAAAAGAATAATTCGTCCTGAACTACTTCTAGGTTCTGTGTCAGAACCTTGTTGTGTACAACAACCAATTTGGACCATGGCTACGTCCAAGAATTTTGGCTTAATATATTCTACAATGTCGTATTTTTTAAAGTTTTGTCTATACTTTTCTTCACACATTACTACCACATATAAAATAAATACCGTAACAGCACTCACAAGAGACAAACAAAACCAAACATTTGCTTCAAATGGTAGAGTAAAAAGATTACGAACGTTAGACAGTGGGGGAGCTTTAAGGATAAATTTCACTTCTATTGGGCTTTGAATGGAAACATATTCAACTATGTTTAAGCGGTCGGCGGTGTAATAAGAAACAGTTCCACCAAGTTCAGCACTACCGGTTTCCAAATCTCCAAACATGCCTCCTTCGAAATGAGAGGCATTTGGTGCTTTGTAACCCCAAGAGTCCCTTTGTATAAAAATGGTTGTAAAGTTTAGCATTTCTAGCAAATATGAAATAGTGTTGTAATTAAGTTTACTGTAATTGTCAATGTGGCGATACCTATAACGAAAAAATTAACTTTTTGTACAAGGAAAAACGGTGACAAAAGTTACCGATAATCCGTCACATCAAACGGGTAATCAGGTTTAGCCACAACATAAGATACTGTGAAATTTGTACCCATCATGTTAGATCGGTTTTTGGCAAGCACCAGCTGGTTAAAGTACAAAAAATTGTTCTCTTCAGAAAAAATTCCCAAATCATTAAATACAAAAGTTTTATCTTGTGGATTGTATTTGTAAAACAACTTTACTTGGAATGCTCTGTTTGGCTTTTTTATTGCAACCGCTAAGTTGCTACTTACGGATAATTTTATGTCAGAGAAAAATGTTTCATTCATTCGTTTAGCCAAAATTAGCCATCGGTGAGGAGCATCAAAGAGTTCCATTTCTTCTGCCTGTTTAAAACTATTTTGATTTTATTTCATATCTACGATCCTAAATGCTTACGATTTTCATAAAAAAATGATAATTTTTGCATGATGAATCAGTGACAATTAGTACATGTGAGGAGAATTTTGATTCTGTAATTTTGGAAAAGTTGTGTATTATTGTAACGAACAAATTTGATTTCGACAATTGAATTGTTGATGCTGAAATAAATTAAATGTAATATGAAATTATAACAACTTGCTCATACATGCCTTTATCCCAGCAAGAGTAAAAAAATAGTTTGGTGGGGAATGCTTGTTTTACTGCATAATTCTGAGTCAGTTTGATCTCACTAAAGTGTTGCCATTGTACAGCATATATTATTGTGATCAATGTCAATATACTATGAAAAAGACGCACAATCATATTGCAAAGTGAAGGGTTCTAAAATGAGAGATGTTCTTATACCTACCTAATAAAAATTTTCCCGTAATAACAGGTTAGCAAATTATATGTCTGCACCTTTTTGAACTCGAATCTTGCGTTCGATAAAGTTAATATTTTATAAGAAAATTATGTGCTTGCTGTAATGCTTTGTACTTTCAAAGTATAAGTTTCCTTAATTTTTAAATTATTGATGTATGTTCTTACTTTGGTAGAGTCCTTGATTTTAACTGTTACTTTGTTCTACATATAGAATAAAATAGAACTATTTATATTTATCTTTTTATATCGTTTTTGTTATGAGAAAATCAATAAATAATTTTACTTCTGTAATAAATTGCTTTGTTTTAAATGAATGAACATAATTACCACGTACAAGGACAATAATATTTTACTCCCTTGATTAGTTTTTCGCCGTTGCATCAATTTTTTTCAGTTGATATAAACATGCCACATTTTAAAGATGGTGTATTTTCATTGCTCAGAAAAATTTTCATTCTTTCAAAATATGTTGGAAGTTACTCTTTACAGTCAGATGACCGGGAACATTTCACAGTCAGTCATACCATGAAGAAAGTAAAATTGGTTTGGTTTCTTTTTATAATAGTTTTAAACTTATATATAGCTAAACTGTATGTCGAAACATATTCAAATCATGTTTTTATCGTCCATGTAGGAAGCTACATTAATTTAGACTTTTACATCATGCTACTGTATTCTGTTATAATTTGCGACCAGCTGTATGAGAACCTCACCAAGGAAATTCTTAACCGCTTAATAGATTTGCAACATAATATACAAAAAGAACATCAAATTAAAACTAAAATGTATATAATATTAATTACGATCGTTGCACATTATATTTTGAATTTTGGACAGAGTGTCAAGAATTATATCTTAGAAACCACACAAAGGAGGGATTTTTGGGTTACTGTGGCTTTATTTGTTAATTCTTCTTATTGTAATTTCATACAAATTTTAACAGAATGTCGGTTTCTAACTATCTACATGATTATAACTGCATATTTTCGGTATTTAAATGAAGAATTTGTGAAACATTCAGATAAAAGTTCCAGCTGTAGAAAAATCGTAAAAATCCACCAGGAACTATGTGACTTAGCCCGGAAACTGAATAAGACATTTTCATTAACTTTGCTCTTTCTAATTGGTTACTACGTTTTTGGAATTATTATAAAAACAATCAAGACATTTTACGAAACTGTTTTTGAAAACAATGAACCGAATATTCTTGACACATTAATTTTTGTAGCGAATTTGTTAAAACTATTCTTGTTTATCTACGTCTCCAACGAATGCATGTCCCAGGTATATTATTTGTGTTTCTTTACAAAATAGTGACAGCTCTGAATAATTTGTATTGTTTTGATGTATTCTAGGCTAACGAATTCAAGACAAATATATGCAGAGTTCTTTCGCGAAAAAGTGTACAACACAACAGAAAGGACGTAAGTAAAAATGAAAATATTTTCTGATATTTTTTAACAACTTGTTTAGCTTTACGCATATGGTCTCCAAATGTTCCACGAAGAATTGCATATCCAGGCTGCAGGATTTTTCGTGATAGATTTTGCTCTTATTTTTGCGGTTCGATTCTCAATTATTTTTAACCCTTTTTGATTAAAATTATTTTAGATTATATCGGCAACAACTACCTATTTCGTAATTATACTGCAGTTTTTGTATTATGAGCGTGAGCACAACAATATTAATGACATCGAGCTGTGGGATGAGTAATTTTTAACGAGAAATTTCTTAGAGTGTGTTGGTGCATTTAATTATTGCCTGTAACTCCAAATAATCAATAAAATTTTATCTAATAACTGCATTTACCAATTGGGTAAATGTAGTTAGGTTTCTCGTATTTGACATATCGGAAATAACAATGGCCGAGTCAGTTATTCTAATTTTAAAAAGGCTAATAACCATATCAAATTACTTACATTTTCGATGTATAGGCTATAATCAGCACAAAAAAGTTTTCGAAAAATACATTAAATTTAAAATTTTGAATTATATTTTTACTGTAGTAATCATTCTTTTTGTATCAGTAACAAGGTATTTGTTTTGGAAATGGTTCATAGCTAGTAAAGTTTTTATCGTACAGGCGCAAATATTCATATATTTATTTACTGAATATATTCTAATTATTTGTATTTTATTTAACAATAAAAAATTCGAAACATTAACAATTCATATTTTCAAAAAAATTCGTCAGCTCACATATGAGTTAATGTTTGAACCAAAATCTACTTTTTTAAAGTGTGCCATGTTTTTGGATTTTATAATTAGATTAGTAGTTATTTATTTCATAACCGTACCCAATTGTAAAGCAGATATGGACAACAAATGGCTTTTTTGGTCCAACTTTGTTGTACACGCAATGTACGTCTCCATTTCTAAAATTTTAACAGAAAGTGAATTTTTTTTTTGTAATTTTATTATTGCCAAATATTTTTTTCGTCTTAATTATCTAATAAAAATAAACTATTATCACAACTATAACAAAATTACAAAAAAACAACAAGAGCTTTGCACGTTAGCAAGAAATATTAACAAAAAATTTGGTACTATCATTCTATTGCTTATGATACATTATACTATAACTTTTATGGGTTTGATGTTTTCTCTTTACTATAAATTAGAAGAACAAGTTACAATAAACATTGTTGAAGTTATTGAAGGTACAGCTACTACAGCAAAAATGTTGTATACCATACGTTGTTCAAGCTGCTCCATGTCTGAAGTAAGTTGTAGAAGAAATAAAAATAACGAATTCAGGACATTTTTGAATTCTTCTTTTGCAGTCTAATAATGCGAAAAGAAATATTTATAGATTACTACTTAATGCTAAAAGAAGAAATGGAATCGCAAAAGGAGTAAGTAGTTTCATGTTTATTGATATTACAGAATTATTAATCCACAAGTATAGGTAAATACATGTGGCCTTCAACTACTCCACGAAAATGTACAAATAACAGCTTGCGGCTTCTTTGTTGTTAACTTTAATCTGTTATTTTCGGTAAATTTAAAAGTATGTTGAAATGCTATTTTTTCATTTCATGTTGCAGATTGTCGCAACTTGTGTCATATCTGCGGTGACGATGCTGCAATTTGTTTATTTTGAACAAAAATATAACAATCATATACGTTTATGGGTTTAAAGCATGTTGTAGATATTGTTTACAATAAAATTCGTTTAAATAATTGTTATTTATCAAAATCGCTGAAACAATATTCAATAGTTAAAAATTTAAGAACTATACCTACTCAGCTACTAATTATGGTATGATGTCCAGTAGAAAATTGGATAAGAAATGTGTAAATTTTTATCTGCAGTCTGAGATAAATTTAACTTATCCATCCTACTCAACTAAGTTACGTAAGTTAGATTACCACGTTTTCAACATAAATAGAATAAATAAAATTCTTTCATTTTGTTACACTGACTTTAACAAATTCTGGCAGTCGCAGATAAAATTTTATAAAGTAACACATGCGCTAAATTAGTTTTAGCATTAAAGTACTTGTGTAATTATGTAAGTAAACTGCACACTCGTAGGTGTTGAACAACGGTTCTTATTCCACTCATGACATAAGTGATTATCAAAAAGAATGAAATAGGTAAAATTCACTTAAATTTTTAGAACGATTGTGTCCTAATTTATTTAGCTATGTAAAAATAGTACCAGTTTCTATACTTTCTGATCTTTCCTCGTATGATGTTAATTAGCTTAAAATTGTAATTACCTTAATGTCTGTGTCAACATGAAGCCATTCTAATAAAATTAAAACATTAGTATTATTGTCTATTTTTTGTCGATTCAAGTTCTAGTGCATTTGTGAAATCAACTCCTAAAATGCCGCCAAATATTATTTTGCTTTTGAAAATATTCACTATATGTTTCATTTATCTTTGCTTATACCCTGTTAGATATAATTCAAAGAAAACATGTTTCGATCATCGGAAAAGTTCTATTTTGTTTAAATTTATAATTAAACCACTCATTTTTGTTTCCGCATTTGGGGCAAAATATTACCACTGGAATGCTGTCTCACATGAAAAAATATTTATTATAAGACTTGGAGGATGCATTTACACATTGTTGGAACTTACGTTGTTCTGCATCGTCTTGTTCAACATTAATGGATTTTTGATAGCTGATGTTTTAAACAAACTCATCAGGTGTCAACAAGAATATGGTACAACAAAAACACCGTTAAAAGAATCTATAGTAGAAATTATTCTTCTCGTCTATCTGATATTCAGAGTAGGCTTACTAATATCCTTTAC